CTTAAATCTATGTCTCAATAACAGGTTTCCAGTTTATTAAACTGTATCACAAAGCGTGCACTCGTAAACTTCAGAGCAGGCATAATACAACATGAAACACCTCTCAAATGGTTACTGGTTATTTAATGAATAGCAGTCTATGTAATAATTATCATATTATTTCAATCGCTTACATATGTATTGATGTTAAGGTTAGACGTGATTGACAATCAGCTATGTTAATGTTATGCCTGAATAATGTTACGAGTTCACCTTAGTCGGTAAACGAGAGTGAAGACAAATGATCCAGTGATACGATAGACTACTCTGATCCGAGCGCCCCAAGTCTCGACTAACGATATCAAAAGGTCTTTATATGGAGTAGAAAGTGTATTCTACAAGCACCCAGAAAATCCAGGTCCATAAGCACATAAATCGTTTTTATTTATACATCATAGAAACGCCCTTAAGAGAGCCACAAAAAATAGCGTACTAAAATAACTCATCAACCAATGAGAGTCAAGAAATTTTCCGAGTGGGTAATGTCATCTCAATGTAAACTGATAAGCTCATGCGCTGAAACATCGAATCCAAAATGAGGTCGTTCATCAAGTGAGTTCCAGGGAACTAACGTCGCCAAAAGTTATATGTTTGAAACGATTAAATATTTACGAAATCTGTCGCACTAACGATTTCTTCTAATCTACTTAGGCTTTTAATTGTATAAACCGCTTGTAGTTGTGTCAGCAACGCTACGTTGTGTTCGGTGTTCCGGTTTCCAAATTTTGTCGAGGAATCGGCTGTCTAATATCGTGGTTACTTGTATCAAGTCTGTTATATCGTAATATATATATATATATATATATATATATATATATATATATATATCAAATAGTTTATGATTTTTGAAGTCAAAACATTTACATCTAAATCCTTTTACCAGTTTAAATCTGTTATATGCTCGTTGATCGATTTGCTTGAAATTATTACTAGTTCGCCTTAGTCGGTAAATGAGAGTGAAGACAAATGATCCATTGACATGATAGACTACTCTAATCCGAGTGTCCTAAAGCCACACTAAGTAGAAGTAAGGAGACGTAGAAAGTGTATTCTATAAGCAACCAGAAAACATGAAGTTGACAAGCACACACAAATCGAGTTTATTCATACATGATAGGAACGTGCTTGGGAAAGCCACAGAAATAGAGTACTAAAATAATACATCAGGGTCAACTGATCAGCCCATGCGTCAAGACACAAAATGCAAAATTATAACGGATATCAAATGAGTTCTGGGGATCTAGCGTCCACAACAAAATCACTAACTGATCTTACCAGGATAACATCAGTGCCGTTGGCCTGGTGACTGACGAAATCTCAGCTCGGATACAGAAGGCTCGATTGGCTTTTGCCAACCTGCGTCACTTATGGCGTAGGCGAGATATCCGTTTGCTGACTGAAGGACGAGTGTACTGTGCAGTGGTTCGCTCCGTCTTACTTTATGTCTGTGAAACATGGCCAGTGAGAGTAGAAGATATTCGTAGGTTACTGGTTTTCGATCATAGGTGTCTTCGAAGAATTACTCGTATATCGTGGGACACCCGAGTGAGCAACGCGGTTATTAGGAATCGGGTACTAGGTAAGAATGGCAGATCGATCGATGAAGTATTGAAACTTCATCAGTTGAGGTGGTTGGGACATGTGTTACATATGCCCAACCACCGACTGCCTCAAAGAGCGTTGTTTGGTAGTGTAGGAATAGGTTGAAAGAAAGTTAGGGGCGGCCAAACCAAAATATGGCACAAATCCATGAAGTCATTGACGAGTGGACTTAGCCATGTCGGTAATTGTCGACTACCTGGTTAGGGTCGACGCGATGATAATAATCGATAGTTAGAGACCTTGAATGACATGACTCAAAATCGTTCGCAATGGCGCCGGTGCATTTATTCCGAGTGTTCTCTCAAATCCTAAACTTCTGGATTCTTAAACACCTCTAGTTTTGACTTTCTAAACTTTTCTCACTGAATCATACTTCTTGAATAATATCTTCTAATCCTAACCTCTCCGATTACTTGTAATACTTTTACCACCTTTTCTACTATTGGATTTGAATTGACAATTACATCTCTGTGCTGATGTGGTATGGCAACATGAACTGATGTACTTACATACAAAGTTCTACGTTGCATCTGACTGACTGACTGACTTACCTAGATAATAACATCGTTGATCTGGAAGATCAAAGGCCTAACATTCAACTGATGGATGCAGGCTCATGTTTGTGCACTCCGTAAATATCCTAAACTTGGAGGAAACGTCTACCCAGTGCGCCCAAGTTTTTATTAGTGTTCTAGCTAAGATCAATTCTTGTTTTAAACGGAAACTTGTACAATCTACACAGATTCATTTCAAAATTGTATGCTTCGACATGTTTCAAGTATGACTAGCCATATATCTTCTACTTTCAAAACATTATTTATGTATATTTACAAAAATTATAATCGTAATAAATAAAATAACCTTTCATCTCATGAACACAATCCATCAGCCACCACAGTCACAACATCAACACCAAACAAGATGATCTTATTAAATGAAGCCTAATGAATTCATCAATAGACAACCAAAAAATATCATCAGAAAACAAAACCAAACTTGAATATTATCAGCCAGAATGATAGTGTTCTAGTGAAGATTAATTAGACGAGTCACATCAATACACACATGGCATCCCCTATAGAGACACACACACGCACACACACACACACACACAAAATCCCAATCTCGACAGATTTTTCGCCCAAGCAAAAAGCAAGCGAATTTTTTCTAGATAAAAAATATCATCATAAGAGGCAACCACTAAAAAACATTTTCTCGTCTACTTTCCTTTCATTCTTTCACTCACTGTATTATTTATTACGTCATAAACTTCGAAAGAACAAAACTGAAATTTGCAACATGTGCATACAATGTAATAATTACGTTGGATAAATAAATATACATTTTATTTTATTCAGAAATTTGTTTACAAGATGAATATATGTATGTATACACATAAATGCATTGTGTATGCGTGTGTGTGTGTGTGTGAGTGCGCGCACTTGTGCTACTGTCTAAATTGTCAAATGTAGCGCATTAGCAGCGATCCAATTCATGTGTTGTTGTTGTTGGTAATTTAAATCCGCCCGCCGATATAAGGAAAAGAAAATCATCGTATTCATGCCAAAATGATCACTACTGGAAAGAGAATTGGGCAATTGACAAAAGAGACTCTTTTTTTTCTGTTCAAGTTTAATTATTGATGATGATATCTGTAATCACAACCATTAGGATAAGAGATTAAGTTTTATTTTTTGGTTTTTGTCGTGGTGTTGCGGGTGATAAAACATGATTTCATTGCAGTGGAAATTTGAAATTTCCGCCAAAATATTTGTTTTAATGAATGAATGAATGAAAGTTTTTTTTTTTTTGAAAGTCGACTCAAACTACTTGGTAATATTTGCCCCTAAATAAATTCAGTATGGTAAGAAAATGAAAATTAATTGAGAATACGTAAAATGGCTTCTTTTTTGTTTTTGGTACCAATAATGATAGATAGATTGGAATTAATTTCAAAACTGTTGTTTAATTTTTCGGACTGACACTGAATTTATAACTACTGCAAACATTGTTTGTTGATCAGCACAAGATAGGTCAGATTATAAAATAAGAAAGAAACAGATAAATGCATTCAGAAGTTGAAAATAAAAATGTCACAGAAATAGAAAACGATTTTTTTAAAAAAAAAAAATCCCAACCACATTAGTGTGAGAATAAACAAAGGCGTTCAATGATCAATTACATTCCAGTCATTGATTTGCATGTGTATTATAAATATAAATATATTCATTGATTCTAATATTATTGATATTATGCTACTACAAGAAAGCAAAGATGAGATTTTAATGTGTTGTACGCTGGCGTTTTTGTTGTTATAAGTAACTTAATAATAATAATAATAATTTAAAGGCATAAAAGGCGCATAAATCAAAATCATAATTTACAATTTGATTGTGTTCTTCGTTTGTTCAATTTCATCATACTAAATAATAAATGATAATAATTTAAATAAATTTAGGAAAAAAAATCCATCAGCAGATCGTTTTTTAAATAGAAAACTCATGATATTACTTGTTTAAAAACTCTGTATCATTATTAACAAAACAGGAAATATATATATATATAATAGCAATAATAAATCGTATGTTCAATGTTTCAATTCTCGGATCATAATAAATCAATCAATAAATAATTAATAATTGTGAAGAATGGAAATTTTTGAATTAATTTTTAATTTAAACAATTAAATATATTTTTTTTTCCTTATTCTAAATAAATGATGCTAATTGATAAATGCATATTTGGGAAATTATTTGGTGCGTGTTTGAAAACAATAAAAGTATCATCATCATCTTCTTCTTTAGAAAAATTGAACATTGAATTTCCGACATCAGTTTTTTTTTTTGGTAAAACAAACATTTTGAAAATAAACATTGTCTTCGTTGGCTTTTTAAATGTTTATTAAAATTAGGCAAGTTTAAACAAACACACACAATAAATGCCAATAAATATCTATCTATATGTATGTATATGTGTATATGTATTTACAAAGATTGGACATTGAAATGTATAAATAAATGTATATATTTATATATATACCATATAATTAATGAGTTATATCTCTTGTATATTGATAATTCTGATGACTAGCAATAAGCAATGAATGCATTGAAATGTATCAAAGACAGAGAGAGAGAATGAAGAAGAACTTGTACAGATTACAAAAAAAAAACTGAATCCATAAATATCTGAACGATATATAATCCATTTACGTATATATATATATGTATATAGTTGAAATATCACAAAAAATGAATCAGGGTTTCGGTGTTTTTTTGGTGTTGTTAGTACAGCCGGAAAAATAATTCATTTTAATAATAATAATAATAATCAATTGTGACTGATGACTTTTATTTTTATTAAGCATTGGATTCTTTCATTTCAGCAAAATATGCGACTAATCGATCATGTGACAGACATAATAATTCTTGTTCCCAATTTAAATCTAATTGTGAATTCCGATGAGTTGAATGTTTATGATAATTGGATGGATTGTGTGACTTTATGGAATGTGGTTGTTGTTGCTGTTGATGTTGTAAGGCTGACGATGATGATGAGGATGACGATGAAGATGAGGATGATGGTGTTAATGAGTCCTGTGTATTGTTATTATTGGTACTATTGATTACTAGTGAATGAATTGATGTGACAACATTTGAATTCACATTGGTTTGTTCCATATGTTCACCTAAAATGAAATAATCGAAAAAATTAAAAATAAAAACAGTTTAAGGGGTTGGAAATTCGGCGAAGGATCAGTGGTTTTATGATTAAGTGTTATAGAGAGAGAAACTGGAAAAGATTCTTAATGCAAGGGTTGTTGATGGTCACACTTCTTGGGAATTCCATGCTGAAAATTGAAAATCATGAATCGATCACTGTTAGACCATCATGAAATACCTTGAAGTAGCACCTGTTTCCTAACAATAGCATCGCTAACTCAGCTGTCCCACGATACTCGAACAATGCTTCGGTGGTTTACAATAGAATGAGTCAATAGGATCTATAGTCACAAGTCAGATTCTTCAGAGAATTATATATATATATATATATATATATATATATATATATATATATAAATGTTTGTGTTCCATGTACAAACGAGCAACATATGAAGTTCAGAAAAGGACCGCCAGCCAACATCAAATTCAGAATTTTCATTACGAATACTAAAACAGTTCTATTGTATGAAGACGAAACTCAGAGATGTACCAAAACATCATACAAAAGATACAAATATTTTATAAACAGCTATTTACGGAAAAATACTTCCAATCTGTTAGTCAGACAACATCACTGACAGTCAACTATGAAGAAGAACAAACTCGATTCGAGCTGAGAACGAAATCGGAATGAGATGTGTAAGGTCAACAGGACGCACATTGTGAAAGTCTTTTAATTGTGTCAAAAGATAAGCCCTGACTTCAAGGAAGAAAGAACATCAACGAATATACTGCATCTTGAATTAAAGGTAGACATGAAATGACAGACAGAATTATTAATTCTCCGTAGTAGAATAATGATAATAAATTTGCCATTTGAGAATTAAACGTCAGACAGAATTCTATATTCGCCACCAGGAAAATGACTTTCCGAGTATGTGAATAATATTGTCTTTTTATCTAATCCATACATAAGCAGTTGTCAATCAGTTTCTATAAGTATGGCATGTGCTTTGAGCCTTTGAAGTGCGCATTACTCTTAAAAGACTTGTAGGACCTTGAACCTGAAGTTACTCATGGTAGTGAGCAGATGGAATTAGCCGAAAAGTTCATGTATCATCTGGGTAGCTGGAGTAATTGCTCATGATGGACACTGGTACTAGATAAGGATGGCAAATCAGTTGATGAAATATTGAAACTTCATCAGTTGAGGTGGTTGGGACACGTGTTACGAATGCCCAACCACTGACTGCCTTGTCAAGCTATATATTATGGTGTAAGATTTGGTTGGAAGAAAGCTGGGCGCACCCAAACCAAAACATGACATGAATCCATGAAGTTACGGACAAGTTGACTGAGTCATGTCGGTAGATGTAGACTATCTGGTTGCGGTCCACGAGACGATAACAACCGATGTTTAGAGACCTTGAATAACATGCTTCAAAATAATTTTCAACGGCGCAGGTGCATTCATTCTTTATATTCCCTCAAATTCTAATTCTTCAGAATCCCTCATCTTCTGTATCTTTTTCTTTTTAAGTTTATTTCACTGTACTATACTTTTTGAATAATATCTTCGAATCTTAATCTTCTCCATTACAGGTAATACTTCTACTACCTCTACCACTACAGGATTTTATTTGATAATTGCGCCTGTGTGCTAATGTGGTATGAAAACTTGAACTGATTTACGGACCTACGGAGTTGTACGTTGTAACTGACTGAATGACTGACTTCCAGGTGTTAGTCTAGCTTTAAAAGTTGAGGTCTGTAATTTGTCGGTAAAATTATTCTCACTCTCTATACTTGTGAAACTTGATCTCTCCTAGTTGACGATAGGAAATAGCTCTATTTTTGACAATCGTTTTCTCCGAAGGATTGCTGACATTCAGTGACAACACCATATTAGTTATGTAGAGATTCGGCAACGTGTGTTTGAACACAGCAGCGATAATTTAATTGGTGTCACTATATTGAAACACCAACTTTGAAGTCTTGGACATGTACTACAAATGTCATCCTAGTAAATCCAACATCGTGCTGCTGGAAAAAGCAGAGTGGTTGTCAGTGAATGACATAGTGTTGAGTTATGTCCAAAAATGACATCTGTTGGCCTTGTCATGACTTCTTAGTTATGGTCAAGGAAGTAGTGCAATTCAATGGTTTGAGATATTATCACACATGAATCAAAATAGTAGCCAGAGTAACCTCTGAATGGTTCTTTTAATTTACTCATATAAGTAGAAGAGTATAAGAGGAACTTGTTTAACTGAAAGAATTCTTCTTGATTTTATTTTATGTAGAACTAAACTGTTTCTCGCATTATTATTATTATTATTATTATTATTATTATTATTATTATTATTATTATTTCAACCTGGTTTCAACCTAATTTCTCTATCCATTTTCATGTTGTTCTACTCACTTATCTTTCTGTATCGCTCTCTCTCTGTCTATCCAACTTCATTTTTATTGTATGGCGCATATATAAATATATAAATTTAATTGTTATCTTATTGTATCAATATTTCAATATTTTAATTAAAATAAAATAATAAATTATTCTGAACCATTTTGTATAATAAAACACTTTTCAAAAAAACACATCAACTAATCAGTAGATAATAACAGTAGTATATATGTATATATATATACAACTTTTATACCGCATAATATATATATATATATATATATATATATATTTATATATATATATATACAGACATGTGACATGTTCGTTTGTCAGCGTAGCATGAAAATATATTAGGAAAATCCAATCTAAAGAAATTCAATTGTACTCATGATGAGAAACTGAAGGCGAAGAAACGACATATATATATATATATATATATATATATATATATATATATATATCACGTGTTATTTTATATTACAGCTAACTCCGGCTGGAGTCCCTCTGAAGCTACTGTTGGTTACAAGCTCGGATAAAGTCGGAGATTTGGGCATAATTAAAGAATGAACAACTATAGGATAGGACTAGAAAGGAAAGCCCAGGACAGATTTAGTTGGAGAAGGTTAGTGAGCGGCCTATGCTCCATTTGGGGTTAACAGGTGTAAGTAAGTAAGTAAGTAGGTAAGTGAGCAAGTAAGTAGGTAAGTAAGTAAGTAAGTATTTTATTGCAGCTAGATTATTACTGTATGCTTAAAAGGATTTTAGGGCTATTTATTTCCTATATAATATCCTTCACAAGTATACTCTATGTTATTTAAGAACTTGTAGTGTGTACTTTTGTGGTGCGAGCTACTTATAAGTAGTATATGACGTGAGTGTCAACGTAATGTCTGCCAGCAAAAGATGGGGGAAGATCAAGAAAGGAAGAGATAAAAAACAATGGAATTTGTATGAAACGCATGAATAGTGACAATGGATTGATGTTTTGCAAGAGGAACAGTCCAGTTCGATATGATGAACTGATATTTTGCTAATGAACAATTAACGATATGGTTTTCCAATTTTACTGAGTAACTCTGTAATTTTCGATCAATGCAATTCGCTTGCCCCACTTGTGTTCCCCTTCACTACACTTTTATATCGGGCTAGCAAAGCTTGTCTTATCCTTTGAACAATTTATTCAATCCATTCCTCTCAAGCTACGCGCGAGACTTTGGACCTTGTCAGTTATTCGCTTTTACCTTCGTTATTTCTATTCGAATATGTGTGTACACTGCTTACTTCGCTTATTACATATCTGGCTTATTTTTATCAAACTTCAGATTCGTTGTCCAGACACCAACAGCAACAATCAACTGTGGGGAAGAATAAACCAGCTTGCCGTAGAAAAGGAAATCTGGAAGAAGTGCTGAAAGTGTATTGGAGACACATTGAGGAAACCATCCAACTGAGTCACAAGACAAGCCCTCACTTGGAATCCTCAAGACCAAAGGAGAAGGAAAGGCCAAGGAATACACGTTGTGCCGAGAAACGGGTGAAAACAGACATGAGAAAAACAGAACTAGAAAGGAAGTCACAAGACAGAGTAGGTTGGAGAATATTGGCTGACGGCCTATGCTTCACTGTGAGTAACAGGCATAAATAAACAAGTGAGTAAGTAAGAACTCACAATAACAATGACACACTTTTGGTTAATAACGTTGAATTGCATATTTGAAATAAGATAGACAATCTTTTTTTGAAAAAAAAGATTTAGACCAATGTAAAATACAAAGAATGACAATATCACAGTTCAGACTGATATGCAGCTTTACATTGAACATATTATCCTGTTATTCATCATGAATCTATCCAAAGGTTTGGAAATATCGATTAATGTATATTTGCTAATATATTCCAATGAGTCAAAAGTATCAGATATTTACAAAAGATAAATATCAAAAGGGATAAAAACAGAGTTTTTATCATAATTGACGTAAATGATATGATATGTCAGTCTGTAGTAGTGTGGGGCGAGCTACTTATAAGTAGTATATGACGTGAGTGTCAATGTAATGTCTGGCGGCAGAAGATAGGGGAAGATCAAGAAAGGAAGAGTTAGAGGAACACAATGGAATTTGTATGAAACGCATGAACAGTGAGTGACAATGGATTGATGTTTTGCAAGAGGAACAGTCCAGTTCGATAGGATGAACTGATCTTTTGCAAATGAACAATTTACGATATGGTTTTCCAATTTTACTGAGTAATTCTGTAATTTTCGTTCAATACAATTCGGTTGCCCCACCTGTGTTCTCGTTCACTACAGCAGTAATAACTTTATGTTTTTAGTTTCATGTTAACTGACACTAGTCAACAAAGCATACTTAAGATGTTGCAGCAGTTGGGTCATTTAATTATATATACACTGTAACACACTACGATTGGATTATTCAGGTTATAATCGAACTTCTATAAGGTTGAGATTAATTCATCAGTGAATTGTACCCGAGCGTCGCATTTGTCTAATAACAATTCTATTTCAGCTAGAATCAGTATGAATGTTCTTTTAGACTTTTTGGTTCGTGATTGAAATTTACAAACTTTTGTAATTGATTAAGATTCAGAATATGTTTAAAGTGTTTTTTGTTTTGAATTTTGTATCGTCATTTTGTGTAATATTATTAAGTAAATTTTGCATTAATTGATCTCCATTAAAAACCTGGAAGAACTGACTGGCCGTTTCGTTCTAGTACGAGATTCATTGTCAGTGCACATTCATGATGCAAACAGGTGGGAAACGAATTTTGCACCTTCCGGTTTCGTGGATGAACGCTTAACTTCTAGACTATTGAGCCGGTATTCACTGGTGTTAATTTCTTACTTCGGTCAAGTCACGGTCATGTGCGACCTCATCCATTGTCTTCTGTGAGCAATGCCTCACACTCGATAAGGTTTAAGTTCAATGCTGACTGATAAGTCTCATAATAGAATGAAATGGACGTTCAGTGCTTCCAGGTTTCTGATGCAAGGTCTAACATTGATCGATTTTTATGACTTCAATGTAACTGAAAGGAGACATTAACAATAACTATGATAATTAATCACAAATAGACTAACGGTATAATGCGATCGATATTATTATAAAAAGAACTCTATACTAAAAAAGGATGATGATCCTGTTTCAAAAACAAAAACGTTTCCTGATTGAAAATCTGACTTTTGTAGTAAGTACAGTTAACTAAAACAGTCGACAGGAAATCCTAAACATAATAAATTTCTAGTTAACTAGAATTCCTTATCCAAGTGTATTTACAATCTCAAGGAAAATGATTCGTATTGAGACATATAATCCTTATAGCTTCAAGGTTGATATGCCTATTTAGTGGAATCGATCACAAAAAATTCAACCGGTATTCACAGCACGATCAAACATATAATGATCGATAAATATTGATCGTGAAACAATTCATTTATCAAAAATATTCTAAACATGAACATATTACAGTTGATCATATATCCTTACATACTTTATTTGTGGCTGACTTATTAATTCTTACGCAAGAATCATATTTACACGAATTTTGAAAAGAAAAAAAGAAAACTTACATAAATTTCCACTTGAATCCATTCCATTAGTATGTGAATATAATGAACAGTTTGTCAGTTTATCAATTGGTAATTCAGTAGTATGATGTGTTTTAATCATTGGAATTGATAAATCATTTGGCTGGTCTAATACACAATGTGGTTGTTGATGTTTTGTGGTTGTTGTGGTTGTTGAATGATGATGTTGATGATTAGGAATTTCAAGATGATGATGCTCAAGATGATGACCACCACTAGATTGGCTGTCTTCATCACATAATAATTTCGAGTCATGTTTACGCTTGTGTCGTTGTCTGCGTCCACGTTGTTGTCTGTGTTGTACCACTGGATGATACCACCAGAGACTTTCTTCACTTGGACTTTGTTGTTGTTGTTGTTGTTGTAGATGTGGATTGTTTGAATATTTTGAGAAAATATCATGTGATGATGTTGGCGATGCTGAAGGTGATGAAGTCAACAAACAATCTTGACATATTTTTGATGGTTGATTATTATTATTTGATTTAGTTTTATAAACATTTTCATTGAAATGTTTTAAATATTCTTTAGAAGAAGAATCAGTTTGACATAATGCTGAGTATAATTCATTGGTTACATGAAAACTCTGAAATTTTTTGAAAATGTTATATAATATTTATCGGTGATATTTAAGTAAAAGATAACTTTTATGCAATATACTATTAAAAGTCATAAATAATTTTACTTACTTACTTACTTACTTACTCACTCTTCCACTCACTCACTCACTCACTCACTCACTCACTCACTCACTTACTTACTTACTTACTTAATTACTCACTCATTGACCCACTCACTCACTTACTTACTTACTTACTTACTTACTTACTTACTCACTCATTGACCCACTCACTCACTCACTCACTCACGTACTTACTTACTTACTTGCTTACTCACCTAATTACTTACTTACTTACTTACTTACGCCTTTTACCCCTAGCGGAGCATAATCCACCCACCAGTTTTCTCCAACCAACTCTGTCCTGGGCTTCCCTTTCTAGTTCTTTCCAGATTTCGTTCATTCTTCTGATGTCTTTCTCTATTTCTCGGCGTAATGTGTTCCTTGGCCTTCCTCTTTTCCTTTGACCTTGTGGGTTCCATTTGAGGGCTTGTGTTGTGGCGCAGTTGGGTGCTTTTCGCAGAGTATGTCCGGCAAGTGATGATCTGAGGCTATGTCAGCTCCTCTCTTGGTTCTCCACATCTTCCGTTGTCCTTCTGAACTTTTTATTAATACAGATATGGTCGATTCGGTTGTGAGTGGTGTGATCCAGTGAAATCCATATAGCTTTGTGTATGCGTTTGTTTTTATGAATATTGTGCCGCCAATGATCAGTTTGTTGAAAGCACATAGGTTTGCGAATCTCCCACCGTTTTCGTTCCTTTTTCCCAGTGCATATCGTCCCATGATGTCTTCATATCCAGTGTTGTCCATGCCAACCTTGGCATTTAGGTCTCCCATCAGAATGGTCAAATCCTTTGGTGAGCATCTGTCAACGATTGACTGCAGCCTTTCGTAGAATTGATCTTTATCCTCGTCATTGTAGTCATTGGTAGGTGCATAACATTGGATGACATTCATTGCAATGTCCTCTTTATTTGTTTTGAAGATTGCTTTAATGATCCTGGGTCCATGAGATTTCCATCCTATCAGTGCCTATTTTGCTTGTTTAAACAGCATCAGTGCAACTCGTTGTGTATGTGAAGCATTTTCTGCTTCATGACCAGAGTATAACAGCAGTTCCCCTGAAGCAAGTCTCAGTTGTCCTACCTGTGTCCAATGCGCTTCACTGATGCCGAGCACCTCGAGGTTGTATCTTTTCATTTCTGCCGCAACTTGAAATAGTCTTCCAGTTTCGCACAATGTTCGAACGTTCCATATACCTTAAAAAGATGGTTGCTCAGGTTGTCAGAAGAGGCATCGGCCTCATGACTTTCGAGGGAACTCGGCTTTCATCACGAGACGTCATAATTCTTCCTTCAACTACGGCTCTAGACCCTTCGGGCTACTGCAGGTCCCAAGCCCGGATAAAGGAGGATGGTTGGACATGGGGTCGGCGACCCCATCCCGTCAAAAAAACTAAATTATCAAAAAAACGCTAATCAGAAGAAATAATTCAAACCATTTTTTATAAAGAATTTTCACAGATTCCTAAATAAAATTGTCAAAACGTGTCAAAATCCAAAGACTTCATTGCCTAGTGGTGTGAACGTTTCGTCGTTAAATCAGTTAGTTAACAATCAGTGTTACACATTTATTTTTAGCTTCGATCAATCGATGACTTTGTATAACAATCCTCCAGTAAAACAAAATGATTGTAAGTAAGAAACTGATGATCTAAGTATAAAAATATATTTAAAACTATAGATAATTAAACAAATGTTAAGTAGTTAAGTAGATGAAATGCCTCTTGAGTCAAAAATTCCATCATGAAATTAACCAAATCAAGCCTAACAAATAATCAATCCACAAGTTATGCTTTATCAGTCGAAACTAGATTGATTCAATGCACAATCGATTCATATTCGGGTTGAGATGAACTCAACTGTTTTCTTTTGTTAATCATAAACATCAAAGTCACTTATGGTTTTTTATAAGCGCTAATGATTGCTTTTGGGGAAAGAATATTTCCTCACCATTGCTTATCAATCGATAACTGGTGTATTAGTGATTGTGTTGGCTATTTATTTAGAAAGCGATTTTCAGAAATTGATTACTAATTGTTGACTCTGAATAACAGTTATTTACTATGTCTGTTATAGTCAGTCACTTTGAGTAAAACCCAGCTATTCCTATTGCTTAGTATTGTCTTTCTGACAACAATACACTCGACAAGTCCCCAAATCAAAACATAGTTGAACAGGAAAAAGATTATATTTCAAGTAGCAAAGTTAAATAGAAGTAAGAATGCCGAAGTGAAGGCTAAATAGAAACAACGTTAGTCTCTTTATAGGTTTTACATGAGAAGCTTCTGGAATCTAATCCACGTGATCGACCAGCACTGATCGATTAGATTTAGCCAATTAGCTTGCAGCTAACAACATGAGAATTTTCTAGAATGCTCTCCAGGTATCGATCAGGCGCTAATTGGATAGGAATTAGTCAATCAGTGCTCAGTTAATGCAGTCACGCTTTATTCCATCTATGTCTCACTAGCAATGTCATACTGTAGTGAACGAGAACACAGGTGGGGCAACCGAATTACAGAGTTACTCGGTAAAATCGGAAAACCATATCGTAAATCGTTCATTTGCAAAAGATCAGTTCATCCTATCGAACTGGACTGTTCCTGTTGCAAAACATCAATCCATTGTCACTATTCATGCGTTTCATACAAATTCCATTGTTTTCTAACTCTTCCTTTCTTGATCTTCCCCTATCTTCTGCTGCCGGACATTACGTTGACACTCACGTCATATACTACTTATAAGTAGCTCACACCACAATAGCATCGTTTTTGGTTGATTTCAATAATAAGCAAACCTTTTACATAACACACATGCTAAATTGATTCTACATTCTCGTTCATGTCAATCATAGTCATCTTGATATGATGACATTGAATATGTTTGGCTTCCCATTAGGAATGAAGAGTGGAGAAAAAAATGAATATCAATCATCTTATTAGTACTTTTCAAGTTTATGATGAAGTTTAGTTTGCTGAGGTGGATGTTTTTAGTTATGGAGCTTCCGGTGTTCTTTGGAAAGCAATATCATCAGCATTGGAGAACAAAATGAAAGCTACACAATCAAAACATCCAACTCAAAGAAGGAAATTTCGTCTATAATCACCCACCGAATTTACAAATTTTCTTCACTACTTCTCAAGTTTTTTTCAGTAAACTTTTAAGTGCATTTGGTAGACACATATAAAAATAGTTTAGTAAAGCAAATCTAAATTAAGAACATTTAGAAAAATTATGACTTAGATGTTTTATAGTAGACCATTATGCTCATATAGATACTTTGTGATATTCAATGGTTCTACAAACTACACTCGCTACTTTACAGTAATAAAAAATTAAATTGGTTATACGCTTTATGGAATTTTAAATGTATCTGTTAGGATAGTCATCAAATATCCTAAAGGAGTTATTTTGTGAGTCTAATTCCTATTGGTTAATATTTAAGGTCGTTCGAAACTATCGAGTTCACATACTTTTGAATGTTGTTTCCTATTGGTTAGTATTTAAGGTCGATCTAACTGTATAAATATGCATTGTCTTTCAGGTTTCATGCTCCTCTTCTTGTTCTTCTTCTTCTGTACAAAACCGCATATTTTCTGGTTTGGGATACTCGGATTAGAGTAGACTATCGTGTCATTGGATCATTTGTCTTCGCTCTCGTTTACTGACTAAGTTGAATTCGTCATAGAATTCAAGCATATCACTTGACGAGCATTATACTAACAAGTACATTTTAAGATAATACGCTAAAAATATGATCTTTTTTTCTAATATATAAGCCTATTGTATATGAGATGGTGGAGAAAATTTGTAGCTCAGGTGGATGATTGTGGTGGTGGTGTTTGGTTCTCTGAGCTGGATGTTTCGGTTATGAAGCTTTCAGTGTTCTTCTCCTGAACAACATCATCAGCACAAACTTCAGATAGAAGTGAAGCATTCAAATTTCTCGACGTTTGACCTTTAGCTTGTTCTGTCGACCTCAAATTTGATTGGTTGCCGTTGACCTTAAACCTGTCGTTGTTTGCACCCTTGTCTTGATTGTATCCCCCTTTCAACTGGTTCTTGATCCTATGTTTGTTTATGATTTTTCTAATTGGTTGATAAACTGGATCAATGTAGATATGTTTGTTGATTGCTGATTGACCTGAACACCGAGCTCCTCACATTTCTCTATTGTTCTCTCTCCTCCCCCTACTCAGTATTTCCACATTATCTCAATCGAATGTGTCCATAATTGTCGGTGTGTATTGATATGAGCGAAGTTTCGTCGTGGCGTTTGACTGCTTATTGGGGTTCACGTAAACGAAGCTGAAGAGGCCGTCCACTTTGTCCTATGTAGTGTTTTTCACAGTCTGAGCAATTTATTTTGTAGATGATATTTGGTTTTTCTTCTTTTGTCATTTTGTCCTTTGGTCTACTACATAGGATGGATTGAAGTGATTCCGTTGGTTTGTGTGCCACACGTATTGCAAACGGTTTCAGTAGTCGTGATGTATGCTCCGATATGTCTTTTGTGTATGGTAGGATGATCCGTTTATTGGTTTCCGTACTTGATTTCGCTTCTGTTGACGATTTCAGTGGATTTTTTTTTTTGATGAAGTTGCATGGATAGCCGTTCTTTTGAAAGATAGTCATAAGATTTTTTTCCTCACTTTCAGTCCTGTCTGATGTAAATAGTAACTACCGAAGACATTTTAGATGAGTCTGTCCAAAACCTTGAACTGATCACAATTATACATTAACATCGTTAGATGCCAGCTCATTGGTTTAGAGGATAAGCGTTCGCATGTAAAACCAAAGGTCCTAGCCTCGATTTCTGTGAGTAGCAGATGTCATACTTGTGCACTACCGATCGTCCAATACTTCCAGGTTTCTCATGGTAATCTAACAATGATTGGTACATTATTTCAATAATATATATATTTATATCTAACTTACTTGTGGTAAACTAAGTGGACGTGCCTGTTGACTGCTTGAATTATTATTAGTATTATTATTATCACTATTCTCATTCGGATGATGATGATGATGATGACGATGTCTTGTTAAATGACCAAGTGTATGATATCCAATCACACCACGACTTGTAGTTCTTATCGGTGGATATGGAGGATTTTGATTCAATGTATTCGCTTCATTGAATTCTAACATTTCATCAATATGATTATCATTAGTATGATTATTATCATTATTCGTATGATCAAGTAGCGGATTGTGTAATTCACACAATTCATTATTATTTGTACAACAATCAAATTGATTTTGTTTTAATGATTTTTTAAATGATCGTCTTATTTGCCATGGTGAAGAATTCATTGGACAAATTGGTGATGTTACATTGAACATGTTCAATGCGGTACAATCTGGTTGATCTATTGTACAATTATTATTATGATTACTAAGCTCTAAAGAATCTTTATGATCCAAATCCAGCAAAGCTTGTTCTCTATGATAATCTGTACTCATCCAATCTTGATTTAGATTAGATTGAACAGGTTGGTGTTGAGAACTAGTCCAATCCAGTTGATTTTTACAATGATATAATAAATTCATTGGTATATTAGATAATATTTGATCATATTTATGCTTAGTTGACAATGATGTTGTCAATAATGGTGAATTTGTTATACTATGAATAGTTTTTAATGGATTCATATTTGGTGTTGTTGTTGTTGTTGTTGATAAGGTGTTATCGTGAGTACATTGATCATTGAATTCATTGGTTGGTATTTGTCTGCGATGTAATGATGCTGCACTATTGGCACTTCCACTAACTATGACAGATTTGGTTAAAGTGTCATTTATACTACTATTATTAGGATTATGATTGTCATGATTATTAGTAGTATTATGTTGATTGATAAAATTTATATTATCTGATGTATAATCGGATAGAAATAATTGTGGATTAGTAATCATTTGTTGTTTTTTATGATAATGTTGTGATTTTTTATTTGATATTGGATTACTGATTATACGGATACTGCATTCTTGACCCTATATTGATGAGAGATAAGTTAATAAAAGAATGTACAAATAATGCGTTAAATGATGACAGTTTAATAACTATTGACAACTCTGAACACAGTCCTAACCACCGACTGCCTCGAAGAGCTTTGTTTTGTAGTGTAGATATAGGTTGGAAGAAAGTTAGGGGCGGCCAAACCAAAACATGGCATAAATCCATGAAGTCATTGACTAGTGGACTGAGCCATGTCGGTAGTTGTCGACTACCTGGTTGGGGTCCGTGAGATGATAATAATCGATGGTTAGAGACCCTGAATGACATGGCTCAAAATAGTTCGTAATGGTGCCGGTGCATTTATTCCGAGTGTTCTCTCAAATCCTAATCTTCTGGATTCTTCAACACCTCTAGTTTTGTCTTTCTAAACTTTTCTCACTGAACTATACTTCTTGAATAATATCTTCTAATCCTAACCTCTCCGATTACTCCTAATACCTTTGCTCCCTCTTCTACTATTAGATTTGAATTGACAATTATATCTCTGTGCTGATGTGGTATGGCGACATGAAGTGATGTACTTACGTACGAAGTTCTACGTTGCATCTGACTGACTTGAACACAGTAGATGACTATTTTGTCCTGGTATAGGTTTGCATGGTGCTGTGAATCGATAATCTAGTAACCGATAGTCGAATCAAGTACCTTCTGTTTAACATGTGTACATTTAAGTTCGAGAATATTAAATCTAATTTCAACCAATCTATGATATGGTGTTCGATCACCTTCGATTGTCTTCGGCAAGTGTTTTCCAACTAGAACACAACAACTATCTAGTGCTTTTAGGATTTTCAATGGTTGTTAAAAATGCATTGGCTTCTGATCTCAATTAAATTTACTAATATCCATAACCCTTTACTGACAAATATTAGATCTTTCTTTACACTACAAATGTTCCAAATACATCGTTTTTGTAAAATATTTAAGATTGGAGTAATCAATTTTTTGTCAATATATATATATATATATATATATATATACTATCTTTCACTTCCTATCTCTTTGTCTCTCTGTACATCTATTGAATGCAAGTACACTTTTGTTTACATAGTTTGATCGTGGTTACGTTACCTATAGTACATACATAACAGAGGGTCAAATTCAATTTTAAAAACAACCATAAAACTAACATTGATGTATCTCTCATAAAATCAGATCAATAATTCAGAATTCATTGTTAGTTAAGATCGAATTGTATGGTGTTCAATCGTGAAGAAGTGACTTTATAAGCTAGTCAATGACTGACCTCTTTGAGGAAAATGAATTCTAACAAGATCATTAAATATTTGTGACACTCTAGTGTGATTATGTATCAACTAGCGTGAATTCTTGATTCAAGAATTACGATCGATCATTTACAATACCTCTAAAGTCATGATTCTTTCTAATCTTCTGAAATAATGGCATTCTTTGGTCACCTACAGATAAAACACCAAATAAACTAAACCCCATTTTGATCACATACTTCAGTACTGTTCAGCGAACAGCAATAAACTTACTTTATTTCAAGTTGCTGCAAAAATGAAAAGATACAACTTGGAGGTCACAATTTTCAATACAAATGTCATAACAGTTCTACTATATGGATCGGAAACTTGAAGGACTACGAAAGGCATCATCCAGAAGATACAAGTTTTTATTAACAGTTGTCTACGCAAAATACTTCGGATTCGTTGGCCACACACTATCAGCAACAACGTACTGTGCGAGAGAAGAAACCAGATTCCAGTGGAGGAGGAAATGAGGAAGAAGCGGTGGAAGTGGATAGGACACATACTTCGAAAAGCACCAAACTGTGTCACAAGACAAGCCCTCATACGGAACCCTCAAGGTAAAAAGAAAATAGGAAGGCCAAGGAACACATTACGCTGAGAAATAGAGAAAGATATAAGAAGAATGAACAAAAATTAGACAGAATTGGAAATGGAAGCCTAGGACAGAGTTGGTTGGAGAAAACTGGTCGGCGGCTTATGATCCATTGGGGGTAACAGATGAAAGTAAGTAATTAATAGCATAAGGATTACCAAGAAAAACAATCAAAACATTAGTCATAACCAATACAAAAAAGAATCATAATAATACACATCTTATGATACCTGATAATTACGTTGTGTAAATGCTGTTGTTGTTGTTGTTGTATGACGTTTCGAATAATGTCGACCAAGTGTTTGACATTCATTGCCAGTTATAGACAATGAATTATTGTTACATAATAATGCATTAGCTTGTAAATCATCAATATAACCAAATGATTGTTTTGTCATATGATCCGTCGGTGTTGGCAAATAAACAAAACGTGAGTCAGAGTCAGTTGTACTTGAACGTAACGTATCTTGCCATACACTTTCACGATATGGTGATTGTAATAGCAATGCATCCGCTTCACCAACTGATAATACAGCTGTAGTGTAATTTTTCTTTATGCCATGATTAAATTGTACTGGACGTTTAGTTGAATGAGATAAACTAGAATCAAGTTTCGGTAAGCCGATACTACTACTATTGTTATGATGAATGTTAGTAGTAGTAGTAGTAGCAGTATTGGTAATAGGTGTTGATGTTCTTGTATTGAAATTAGTTAATTCTGAATGATTGTCCATCTTATCGATTTCGTTTTGTTCACTCATCATCACTTGTTGACGACCAATCCATATCCAACTTGAATCACGATGTAATAATGGCTGTAATTTGGGAGAAAAAAAATAGTTCAAACATTTTACGCAGTGATATTTATAGAAATTGTTCGGATGTAACTCCACCAGGAGCTCATCTAGGGTTACTGTCAGTCCTAAGCTCGGATAAAGAAGGAGGGTTGGAGATAGGGTTAGTGTGATTACATCCCGGTAGAAATATAACTCGCTAAAAAAATAATTCACTGATCGACGGCCTATGCTCCATTAGGGTTCAAAAGCGTAAGTAAGTAAGTAAGTCAGTAAGTTCACATGTGTTTATCACATACTGATATTAAACATTTAATAGACAGCGAACACAATGTGGATGTCTCATAAACATTTAAAATAATTAATAGGCAACATAGACATCAATTTTTACACTGTTTTTTTTTCAAAGACGATTGTCATCAAGCGGTTTCAACTTGAGCTTTATTTACATGAAGAAGGAAAGTGTGGTAAACTTAACGCATTACGAAGGTAAGATAACTCAGTCAGTCAGTCAGTCAGTCAGTTGCAACGTAGAGCTTCGTACGTAAGTACATCAGTTCATGTTGCCATACCACATCAGTACAGAGATGTAATTGTCAATTCAAATCTAATAGTTGTAGAGGTAGCAAGGGTATTAGAAGTAATCGTAGAGGTTAGGATTAGAAGATATTATTCAAGAAGTATGATTAAATGAGAAAAGTTTCGAAAGTCAAAACTAGAGTTGTTGAAGAATCCAGAAGAATTGGATTTGAGAGAACATAAAGAATAAACGCACCTGCGCCAATGCAAACGATTTTGAGCCATGTCATTCAGGGTCTCTAACCATCGATTATTATCATCTCGCGGACCCCAACCAGGTAGTCGACAATTACCGACATGACTCAGTCCACTCGTCAATGAATTCATGGATTTCTGCAATGTTTTGGTTTGGCCTCCCCGAGCTTTCTTGCGACCTATTCCTACACCACAAAACAAAGTACGACGTGGCAGTCGGTGGTCGGGCATACGCAACATATGTCCCAACCACCTCAACGGATGAAGGTAAGATAACTACTGTATTGTGATCACACTTTTTCTAACGCTTTTCAGTTACTTAATCACTTTACTATATTTTCTAAAACTCTGCCTGGAGCACTTCTAGAATTACTGCTCTAGCATGATTGGATATCAGGTTAGTGACAACATCTCGTAGAAATCCAACACTCGACACGGTTGAACTCCTCCTGTATGATGGGTAGAGTCCCCATACTAAGATGAAATGACTCATCTAGTACTTCCAGGTTTCTAATAGTACTCTAACATTGATCAATTTTATAATTCTACAGACCTTATCATCCTCTATTTTTGATTTATTTAAATAACTGAACGATATATATCAGCAGGAATAGAGTCAAATAACTTTGAATTCATAATATAAATGTTGTTTCTACACAAAAGCTAAATGATTCGGTGGGATCTGTTAGAATTATGAATGTGCAACTACTTTACCTAACCAAGAAGGATGAACTGCATCAATCATCAAGAGATCTCACTGAAAGTGTTGGAAATAATTATACAAAGCTTTTTTTAATGTTCACTGATTGACTAAATAATGTTAATGTGTGACAAATTCTTCAAACGTAGATATTTCTGTATTTAAATACATAATCACAAGTACAAATTGGGACCCGAATGTTTATAAGTAACACAAACTATTGGATTTGTAATTAATCTGGGATACTGCCCCGATTGGTCGATAAATTGGGTCAATGTCGATGTGTTTGTTGATTGCTGATTGACGTGAGGAGTGCCAAGCTTCTAAAAATTCTCTACTGTTCTTTGTCCTCCCCCTATCCAGTATTTCCGAATCGGTTCAATCGAACCTATGTCCATAGTTATTCGTATCTACTGACATCAGCGAAGAAATGTAGTGGCGCTCGACTGCTGATCGATGTTTACGCAAACGAAGCTGAACAGTACGTCCACTTTATCCTATGTAGTGTTTTTCATAGTCTGAGCGATTTATTTTGTAGATGATATTTGGTTTTTATTCCTTTGTCATTTTGTCTTTCGGTCTACATAAGATTGATTTAAGTGTTTCTGTTAGTTTGTGTGCTACACCTATTCGAAATGGTTTCAGTAGTTGTGCTTTGATTTCCATTATGTCTTTTATACATGGTAGGATGATCCGTTCATTGGTTCCTGTGTAGTGCCTCCACGTATATTCGAGTTCGCTTACATTTAATTTGGTTAAGCCCTTTCGATTAATTTATTTAACCAAACCATTTGTATAACAATACCTTATATGTACCATTGGCTTTTATTATTGTGTGGTTTGTATGAGCTGATGGTATGACTGAACATTGTTTACACCTACGCGCATATTCATCCTATTCGCTTTAATGTTAACCTGTTAAATACCTCGATGGCTCAGTCATTTTCCTACGTGTATATACGAACATTTTAATCTTATTAATTCATTCGCACATTCACTCGCTAGTGTGCTTGCCCGGTCTGCTTGTGGTCTGCTATCCCACATTTTGTGGTGTGCCAAAATAAACGTATTCAACACTTCGAATTCGCCTTCTGATTTATAAACCGTCAGACGCTATTTAGTAGTAACGATTGTCTGGACGAGCTATTTACAAAGACTAAGAACACGTAGAAATTGGCCACCACACCTGTACTTGATTTCGCTTCTGTTGACAATTTCAGTTGACGGTTTTTTTTTAATGAAGTTGCGTAGATAGCCGTTCTTTCGGATCAAGAAACAGATCCAAAGGGGGATACAATCAAAATAGAGGTACAACACAACCACAAGTTTAAGGTCAACAGAAACCAATCCAGATCGAGGTTAGCACAACAAGGTCAAACAGGTCAAACATGGAGAAATTCGAATGCTTCATTCCTATCTGAAGAGTCTCCTGCTAGGACGAAACGGTCATTCAACAATGCTTCCAAAATTTCTATTGGTCATCTAAAACTAACCAGTTCAAAATATGACTGAAACTCTTTAATCTTCACAACCCCTAAAGCAATTGTTAATACTAACACTTTCAAGTGAAAAACTTTTTTTTTTTCGTTCTTATATAAAACACTGATAATAATATGCCTTACCTTGTGTTTTTGACGACTAGTAAACATTGATGTCGCAGATCGTTTAGTACGTTTACGTTCTTTATTATTATGATGATCATCAATATTGACCGGTGATATTTTATCATGGTTATCAACGGTACTTTTCGAACGATGCAACATCATCCAATTGTATTTTGGCGAATCCGAAGAAACAGACAACATGAATTGATTATTACTATTATTAGTAGCAGTAGCAGTAGTAGTATTAGTCACATGATTATCTGTGATTTCATGATTCATCGATATTGGATCAGTGAGTGGTATGGATTGTGATTGGTGATTATTATTATCAAGTGATTGATTAGGCTTACGTCCAAAACAAACATGAACAATACTACTTTTATGATGACAAGTAGTAGTATTCGTAGCAGTACTATCCACACTGTCTGTTTGATGCATATTCAACTTGTCTAAACGATAACGTACAACCACTACTCCACAATTCACTGCAAATATTAATCCAATTATAGTAAATAAGCCAAGTAATATATACATACTAATTTCTAGTACAGGTTTTGCACTAGTTTTCATGTCTTTTAATTTATCATGAGTTTCTTTAACAGCATTATTACTGGTACGACTATGACTACGACTGCTACTAACACTGGGATTATTGGGAGATTTATTATTCTCAGCCTCTTGTATTAATTCTTTCTGCTTCTTGTTCTTCTCAATAGGATGCGCATGTCCACCGCCTACATCAGACAGAATCGATAATCTCTCATCTACGTGAATATCATCAGAATTTATGGATGCCGGAGAATGCTGTTGTTGTTGTTGACTGGAGGTTTTCTCCAAAGACGACGACGAAGGTGGTGAATAAACTGGATGATAATAATAATTATAATCGGATTTATGCAATCCAGGAGCATCTTTAAATGCCATTGAATCATGGATAGTGTCTTCATTTGTTAAATTTTCCTGTTAAAAATAAAATAATAACATCATTTATCTTCATTAGTTAAGTTTATTTGTAGAATCCAAGTTGAGGCTTGAACTGACGAATAACTACTGTCTAAGTAGTTGAAATACGAATCTTTCCCAGTTGATATCAAAACAAGTGGTTTGAGTAAATAACAGTCCTAATATTCATCATAAATATAAATTTGTAGTGCCTCCACACATATTCAAGTTAGCTTACATTTAATTTGGTTAAGTAAGCCCTTTCGATTAATTTATTTAATCAAGCCATTTGTATTGCAACAATTTATATGTACCATTAGTTCTTATTATTGTCTGGTTTGTATGATGAGCTCACATGACGTGTCCCACTTGTCATTTGACCTTGTCAATCATTCGTTGCTTTTATTCATGTGTGTGCACGCCTATTACGCTTGTCATATGTCTGCCTTATTTTTGTCTGACTATATATTCTTAGTCACGCTCTATCTCTAGGAATTGGCTCATTAGCCTTCTCCAACGCGCTTCTCCTATTCATTCGTTTCCTTCGCCCATTCGTTCACATTGTAATCCTAGGAGTTGGCTCACTAGCCATTCTCTACATCGCTCCATACGATTCGCTTCAGTCGCTTATTCGCTCGCCAGTGCACTACAAATTTACATCATTACCTAAACAAACATTACCACTTAGTTATTCCACCAACAATTAGTCAAATCAACAGCAACAAATAAATGTTGTTCTATCCTTCCTGGATAGATCAGATTCGCTCAAAAGATAATAGTTGGTGGCTTTATAACACAGAGTATTTCCTATTCTGGAAGAATGCTTCAATTCACAATCAGAATGCACAATTCCATTCAAAGCACGTAACCTAATCAAAAGAGGAACTAATCAATATGGTTGTCGCCAAGACTAAGCATCAGCTTAAACAACATAAACGCAGTTTAGAAGGAAACATAGAAACTCAGTAAAAGGCAAAAGAAATAGAAACTATAATAAAATACAAATATTATCATCTCGACTGACTAACTGACTGACTGCTATCCATTTCTTTTAGTCTCTCACTAATTAGCATCAAACATGAATCAATACATCAATTCAATTCAAATTCAACAATCTCCACATCTCCTTAAACAGATAAAAATAACACTTTCCAAACGTATAATTATACAAATCGATTAAATTTCCTTGAAAAAAAATCAATAATTTAAAAATAAATCCATTTACTTGGCTGTTTTTTGGACTAAATTTATTGTGATGATTATGATTATTATTATGATGATTATTATTTCTATTTCGTAGATATTCATTCACCGACAAACTATTTTTCGAAGTGATTATATCACCACGTAGACGAAGATGTGGGACTAGAAGATTTCCACTTGGTGATGTCAAACCCACTTCTAATATATCACCTAGATAAAATGTCAAAGGGAAAAAAATGAGAAATTCGTGTCAGTGGCAAAAGCAAACATAAGTACATTAATTGACATTGATTAGAACTATAATAAGTCTTGAAAGAATTGTTCTGCATGGAAACTCAACTAAATCTATTTATATAAAGATTTGGTTTTGAATAGATGATGAGTAGGAATTATCAACGGGAATTGGAATGAGGTATACACTAAGGAAAATACCTTTCAGATGGTGAAGAAAATTTGTAGCTTAGGTGGATGATTATCGTAGAGTTTCGTTATCCAGTTGAGATAAGGAACATTTTACACTGAGAATCAGAGATAGACATGAAAAAAATGAATAGAAGTTTGAAAGTACTGACCGGTGGTGTCAGGCAAGGTTGCTTACTCTCACTCTTTCTCTTTCTTCTGGTCATCAATCGACTAGATTATGAAGACTTCGATATCTGGAGTGGAGCACGGTGTCCAATGGACAGCTAGGACGCAGCTAGACGATCTGGACTTCGCAGATGACCTGACTCTTCTATCGCACACGCAACAACAAATGCAAGAGAAGACGACCAGTGTAGCAGCAGCCTCTGCAGCAGTAGGTCTCAATATACATAAAGGAAAAAGCGAAATTCTCCGATGCAACACAACATGCACCAGCCATATCACTCTTGATGGAGATGCCTTGGAGGACGTTAACACCTTTACATATCTGGGCAGCATCATCGACAACCAAGATGGATCCGATGCAGATGTGAGGGTACGCATTGGTAAAATAAGTGTTGCATTTCTACAATTGAAAAATATCTGGAACTCCAAACAACTTTCAACCAAAACCAAAATCAGGATTTGCAATACAAATGTCAAGACAGTTCTACTGTATAGGGCGGAAACATGGAGAACTACGAAAGGCATCATCCAGAGGATACAAGTGTTTAGTAACAGTTGTCTACGCAAAATACTTCGGATTCGTTGATCAGACACGATCAGCAACAACGTACTGTGGCAGAGAACAAACCAGATTTGAGTGGAGGAGGAAGTCAGGAAGAAGCGGTGGAAGTGGATAGGACACACACTACGAAAAGCACCTAACTGCGTCACGAGACAAGCCCTCACATGGAACCCTCAAGGCAAAAGGAAAAGAGGAAGGCCAAAGAATACATTACGCCGAGAAATAGAGAAAGATATGAGAGGAATGAACAAAAACTGGACGCAACTGGAAAGGGAAGCTTGGGACAGAGTTGGTTGGAGAAAACTGGTCGGCGGTCTATGCTCCATTGGGGGTAACAGACGAAAGTAAGTAAGTAAGTTGAAAGTACTGGAAAGGAAAACTCAAAACAGAATTGTTTGAAGAATTCTAATCATCGGTCTATTCTCCATTGGAGGTGATAGGCCTAAGTAAATAACTAAGTAATATGATGACTGGTCTAATAAATTACTATAATTACTGTATCAACAAATAAAATTACACTTCAAAACTTTCTTATAATTCGCCTAAAATTCGTTTCCTAATGCTAATGACAAGATAACTGAAATCTTACTAATTAATGCACAAACCTTAAAGCTAGTGGCTATCTTGACTCAATAGATTAATGGATAACCCGTTTAACTCTTAAACTAAAAGATGTTGCATTCAAGTATGAACAGTATAAAAATCAATACAGGTGCAGGTTTATCCAGTTGATGAGTCCCAAATAGGACGAAACCAGCATCCTAGATTTCATTGTTAATGACAGTTTATTTTCTTCGTCGTAAGTCATCCCTTTATATCAAATATAACGAAACTAATTTTCTTAAGACAACATGATGCCTGTAGTTTATTGACAAGTGAACTAGATAAAAATGAGTTATAGTTGTAGAGGTTGTGTGAGTTCCATTGAAATCATAAATCGATCAGTGATAAACCGTCATTGGAAACTGTTGGAAGCTGTTCCATCCTATTATAGGATTCATCAGCAGTGTGCATGCACAAGTCAGCGGGTGGGTTACGGACCCAGGACCTTAGATACGAATTAGTTTAACATATTGGCTTGTAATACTTTTTTGTGCCAAAAATGTTTCATATTCACTAGTGGAAAGAGAACCATAACTTTTATCCAATGTAGACAGGTGTATTGATTTTAGGCTCAGTCCCATTAACTATCAAAAATGTTTCCTTAGGAATCGATATTCAGTATGTTTATTAAATCATATCGTACCATTTGAACCACTGCACGTGAACAGACATTTCTTTTTTTAAAAGTTAATTTAGACATCATTCAAAACAGCCAAGAATGTAACCCGAACTAAGAAACGTGTTGATATTTCAAATTGAAGAATAAAAATTCTTACAAAAAATACAAACGAAAAACAAAATTGAACCAATCAATCAATAATCATTTTAAACAATGTTTTATTTTTGTGAAAATTCCTCCAACGTGTTGTTTTACTGCAGTTAACTTTAAACGCTATGCCGTTGGGGACGTTAGATCACCCAGAACTCACTTGATAAAGTTCCTAATTTCGGGTTTTTATACTTTCGCGCATAAGTTGATCAGCTGATCTGGAGATTATATTTCCCAATCGGAAAATGTTCCACGGTTATTGGTTGATGCGTTATTTTAGTACGTTATTTTGGTGGCTCACACAAGGACCTTTATATCGTGTATAAATAAACTCGATCTGTGTGCTTGTAAATCTCATATTTTCTGGCTGCTTGTAGAATACACCTTCTAAGTCTTGTCAAGGCTTCTTCCTCTACTTGCTGGGGCTTTAGGACGCTCGGATTAGAGTTGTCTATCGTATCACTGAAGTATTTGTCCCCGTTCTTGTTTACCGACTAAAGCAAATTCGTAAAAGTTTCAAACATATTGTGGTATGAGCTACTTATAAGTAGTATATGACGTGAGTGTCAACGTAATGTCTGGCAGCGGAAGATGGAGAGAGATCAAGAAAGGAAGAGTTAGAAGAACACAATGGAATTTGTATGAAACGCATGAATAGTGACAATGGATTGATGTTTGGCAACAGGAACAGTCCAGTTCGATAGGATGGACTGATAATTTGCAAATGAACGATTTACGATATGGTTTTCCAATTTTACTGAGTAACTCTGTACAATTCGGTTGCCCCACTACAATATCACGTCACGAGCATAACAAATACAACTGCAAAACAACATTGTGAGGAAATTCTTACCGGAATATTTCATTTTTTTATGAAGAAACCATACGATTGGACCAGACCAATAATTACTTGCATTAATGATTGTACTATTCTTTTCATTTCTATTACCTAACATACTTTGATACGACGCGGGTTGATTTAACGGTACGGCACGATCACCAGTTCGTAGTAAATGCGGCTTCATACGGATTGAACGGCGGGATAATCCAAGAAATTGATGAGTGTTCTGTGTGAACAATGAAGATTTCGATGAGAATACAGATGGAACACGTGAGGCTCTTCTGACAGAACGTTGTTTTCGTTCAACTATCCCTGGAGAATTTGTTTCAATCCAGAATAAATCAGGTCGACAATTTTTCAGGGATAAATTTAATGGTATTTTATCTTTTCCATAGAGTTGTTCATAAATCTGAAAATCAATGGAGAACGAAACAAAAATGACGGGAAATGTGTCAATTTTTTGCTGGAATGTTCACCGTCAATAATGAAAGTAGAGTAGAGTAGTTTAACATTGAGTACTTAATTTGAAATTAGTCACACAGCGGCATGGATCACATTTCGAATATTGTTTATGTACGTTCAAAACTGAAACTTGAGATCTAGGGAACGATTAACAGTGAATACGTTTATGATCTTTTCATTATAGAATAATGGAGATTGTTGTTTTACATTGAGATTATGAATCAATCTTTGTTAGATCATCATTAGAAACCTGTAAGCACTGAATGGCTGTATCGTCTTGAAATGAAACTCGTCAGTAGTGCACATACGTGACTCTTACTACTCACAGAAATTGAACAAAAGACCTACGGTCTTGTGCATGAACAATTAAACTCTGAATAGCTGAACCGGTATCCAACGTTGCTGATGTTTAACTCTGGTCAGTTTAAGGATTTTGGGTGACCCCCCATCCATTGTCTTCGGTAGTTGATGCCTACACCCGACAAGGTTAGATTCACTAGAACTCCGAGAATTTCTTCATAAACCTAGTCACTAGTGGATGCACGCTGCCGATGAGTTCCATACAAGGACAAAACGGCTGTTCAAAGCATGCAGGTTTCTGATAGTGGTTTAATGATGATGACTGATTCACGATTTCAACGTAGATTTCCCAACCACCAAGTATGTCTCGCATATTTGAAAATCTACAAACGAGTAGTTCTTACTACCAAAAGAATTCAGATGAGCATTCAAAGATCTTATGGATTGATGCACTGTTTTGATTAAGCCTTATCTAGGCTTCTAACTTATTCCTTTAAAAGCTGAGAATATTCGTTTTGTGTTTGTAAAACAGTTCCTAATCACTTCAGTAGACATAGATTCATCAACCAACTTGTAATCCTTGTGTAAACATCTCACTTAACACACTTTTTTTTACACTTGATCGTTTTACACGACTCAGTCAATATATTAATGACAAAATAAATGCATCTTTTATATTCATAGATTATATTTTATAGCTGATGCAGATGTGAGGGGGCGGATCGGCAAAGCAAGGGCTGCATTTCTACAGTTGAAAAAATATCTAGAACTCCGAACAAATATCAATCAACACCAAAATCAGGATTTTCAATACAAATGTCAAGACATTTCTACTGTATGGAGCGGAAACTTGGAGAACTGCGAAAGTCATCATCCAGAAGATACAAGTGTTTATTAACAGTTGTCTACTCAAAATACTTCGGATTCGTTCGCCAGACGTGATCAGCAACAACATACTGTGAGAGAGAACAAACGAGATTCAAGTGGAGGAGGAAATGAGGAAGAAGTGATGGAAGCGGATTGGAGACTCACTGAGGAAAGCACCGAACTGCGCCACGAGACAAGCCCTCACATGGAACGCTCAAGACAAAAGGAAAAGAGGAAGGCCAAGGAAAATTTTACGCCGAGAAATAGAGAAAGACATGAAAAGAATGAACGAAAGCTGGACAGAACTGGAAAGGGAAGCTTGGGACAGAGTTGGTTGGAGAAAACTGGTGGGCGGCCTATTCTCCATAGGGGGTAACAGGCGTAAGTAACTAAGTAAGTAATATTCTACAGCTAAAGATTATGGGACTGTCGAATAATGTACAATCTGCTCTCTATAATGATTTTAAGTCATGACAACCTGAACTAATACAAGTTTTTATATCACGATCTATTTTCTTTATATGATTGAGTAAATGATCAATGTATCACTTTACGATTATTTCTGCTAAATCTCAATAGTATTGAAAAAGATTTATGCAGACTTTATTATTATCGTAGTGACCAGCTTTAAGATGAATCTTTGTAATTCTAGTGATAGACTAAACATGCTCGCATTGGATCTCCAACAAACAGAACTATATCACTGATATATTCTAAGTCGACAAGCGACTAGCCTGGTAATGTGTTTGAGTATAGATCCTGTACAAGGTTAGTGTACTTCTTTGGTGAACCGTTCAATGTCTAGTCCAACTCTATCCATGTACAGTAGGAGATAATTATAACAGATAATTGATGAATATTGAACATCATGGATTGGTTCAAGTTAGACATTCACACCGTTGTATGCTGACTCCTTGATCTAGAGGTTAAGCATCCGAGCACAAGACCGAAGATCCTAGGTTTGATTACCTAGAGCGAAGCTGGTAGACGTTCACTTCTAAAGAGTTCTAAACTAGGACGAAACGTTCATTTATTGCTTCCATGTTTCTAATGATGCTTTGGCTTAGATTAGTTCATGAAAATCTATATTTCACTCATTTTTTCTTCTTATAAAACAAACCTCTGATCCAAGGTTTCAACTTCAATTATTTTATTCAGCGACAAGTTCAATCAATACTTTACATTTGCGCTCATCGATTTCGTAAACATCAAAAGAGAAGAATTCTCAATAACCGATATATAATTGTTTCCCCCTATTTAAACTTGTATACAATTTGTTTGATCGAAAAACTAATCTTCAAATTTATTTTCATTTGTCTATTAATTTCATTGGTTAACCCAATCTGTTTGTTATCGATCGTAGCTTTGATTCAATTCGAATCCAACGTTTTTTTTTTACTTCAACTAAGTTTTGAATATTGAATTATCAATGTTGGTTTGTCTGTTCAATTGTTTGTCTGTAGGTGTGTGTGCGTATTCCTGCTACTGATGAGAATCGAGGACTGTTGAGTTGTACGAGTGAATTTATCAAAAAGAAAATCACTGAATATTTTCCTGTTTTATTCAATATGCTTTTTAGTGTAAATTTTAAGTAGTATATAAAAAATAATTGAATTGATTGAGTTTATTTTTACTTCAATTGGTGTATAGATTTATTCAAAAGTTGTATGTGTTAGAGACTAGTTATACTTTGAATCAAATTTAAGACCAATTTGGGACAAGATAGACATTTTCACTTAGTATAATCCATATCAACAATACAGATTTCAAAGATATTACTAAAAAAAACTACTTATAACTTGTAAGTTTAACAGTGGACACTACTTAGCTATTGGAATGATTAGGGCAATTTCTATGGGTTGAAGCTTTGCTTAATGGTTTTTATATTCTCCAAAGCTTCTCCATCAAGTGTGATTTCGTTAGTGAATGTTGCGTTGTATCGAAGGATCTTGCTTGTACCTTTGTGCATATTGTGACCTACTGCTGCAGAAGCTGCTGTTAAATTGGTTGTCTTCTCCAGCATTGGTTGTTGTGCTTCTGTGAAATTGACTTTGGCCTATTCATGTATAATTGTTATTTTTCATTGATTGATGTGGTGTGGTCAAGTACATCTAGTATGTTTGAAGCATATATGACTTAATTGGATTAGTGGAAACTGGTTTACGAACTTCCCGAACTCAACAGGGCGGATTAGTTGAAAGCTTTAAATGAATAGGAACTTTCAACTAGTAACTAGAGGCTACTAACGAGTAATCGTATTCTAATTAGTATTTTGTCGAAAATAATCACATGATAGATAGATAACGGGTTACAAGACATAAAACGTTTTTCTTCATTTTATATGTTGATCATAATGGTGTTTAATAGCTGAATATTTTTTCATATCAACGGATAATGATTGGTTGTGTTGCAGTATTTGGCGTAGATTTGAATTTCAAGGAGAGAAATCATATGACTAGATTTAAGTGCATTCTTTAATAATGTTATTTCTTATGCGTTTTTCATTTCATCTGAACGATTGACTATCTTTCATAATATGTTAGGTGTAAATCATTTTTTTTGTTTAACAAGAAGTCACAATTAATGTTTTAATTATACATCATCCCCTAATGTTACGTGGAACATATATATATATATATATATATATATATATATATATATATATATATATATATATATATATATACAAATAATATACCAACTTTAAATAATATCTACGCATTTATGATTCTAAGTTAGTTCAGTTTGGAAATGAGACAAAACTAGAAAATGTCCATAAAAGTAAATTGTACAGACTTAAAAAGCGCTGGAGTTGGATAGAATGACACACATTGTGGAAAACACCCGCTGAATGCGTCACAAAACAAACTCTAAAATGAAATCTTCAAGGTCAGAATGTAAAGCGAAATACTTAATCAAACATTACACCGATAATTGGATGCAGATAGGTTAATTTGGTGAATAGTGGTTGGTGTCCTATGAGTAAGTAATTAAGTAGGTTATGACTTAAGATGAACTATAAATCAACATCGTCTTTGTCTACTGAAAAGTTTTAGCGGAGTTATATCAGTTAAGTTACAACGTTAACACTAACCTTAGTAATCCACCAAATGCCATGGTACCGCTGAAACTGGGGAGAGTCTGTTGTTCCTCTTGGAATAATGCTCTTATATGACTACACTTATCTAGCCTCTGTCAGGTAGGTTCTACTCACTGGCTTCTCAATACACAAATGTTTTCTACAAACTGAGAGGAGAAATAGTGGATGTCAGGCCTTAGCTTAAAGAAGGTCTCCCCGTACGGGTGATTCACCTGGGAAAGTTGGAAAACCCTAATTTCAGACCAATGGTGTACGAAACTCGGAAAAGATTCCTCACGAAGCTAGTCACTAGTGAGCACAGGTGATTTGCATTAGGGGGTTGTGAAGATTGTTAAGTTACACATTTTTGAAACCATGAATGGATCAATGTTAGAACACCACTAGAAACCTGGAATCTTCTCCGATTTCTAGTGGGAAGACGTGACCAGTGAAGTTCAACTTGTTCGGGTGTAGACAGTAACTACCGAAGACTGTGTATGAGGTTGCGCAACTCCATGAATTGATCAAGTGAGTCATTAACACCGTTAGATGCCGGCTCAGTGGTCTAACGGTTAGGCGTTCGCGCACAATACCGAAGGTCCTGGATCGAATCCTACGGGGTGCAGGAGTCGCGGATGCGCACTGCTTATGAGTCGCATACCAGGACGAAACGGCCGTCCAGTGTTTCCAGGTTTCTAATGGTGGTCTAACATTGATCGATTCATGGTTTCAAAAATGTGTAACTTAACAATCTTCACAACCCCCTAATATCTTCCGTCACAGTGGATATTCAATATCATTCCTAAACTCTATATACTGTTTGTCCTGATAACTATTACTAGATAACGTCTAACAATGTGTAGAAATCTCTGAAGACGAATACGAAGTGCCAGTGATGTTTATTATTGCACTATACACCGATCACAAAACCACGAAGCGAAAACTAGATGCTCTACGAATGTCAAAGAACATTTAAATAGGAAAATGAATGACTAACCGAATTATTTCAGTGAAAAACAATAAAGCTTGTAGAATGAATACATGTGTAGGCTGTGACCAATACTCAAGTTAACATACTCATACGAACGTACAAATTTCGTACTAAGTACAAAGCGCGGGTTTGGGTTCTGACATCAATTAATGTCGGTAATTAGGAAGAACCGAATCGTCCAAGTCATTAATGTGTCGCCGTCTGCGACGTCCGAACAGTTACGCACATTGTTCTAAAAACACTCAGAAAATCCAAGGTTGATAAGCACAGAAATCGAGCTTATTGATACATAATAGAAACGCCCTTGAAAGTGCCACAAAATAACATACTAAAATAATCAATCAATCAATGACATTCAAAGATTTTCCGAGTAGGAAATGTAACCTGTAGGTCAACTAAGCATCTCTTAGCCCGAGAATATAGAAATTCAGAATTTTAGAAATAAATTACAAAATTAGGACCTTTTCCAAGTGAGTTCTAGCTGATCCAACGTCACCAACATCAATTAAACGTAAACAAATGAAAATCTATGCGTGAGCTGCTGTTACATCATCTCACAGTCTTATACTTCTCAAACTAATAAATCCATCAAGCCATCATAATTTTTAAAATAAGTTTACTGTCTATCTCAAAATAGTCATATATTAACCCATTTATCCTATATTGAGTTCCGTATGAAATATCAGTAAATAAAAGCTATCTCCATATCTATATCATGAAAAATCATAAAAAATTTGCTCACTAGTGACTAGCTTCATGAGGATGTTCTCGGAATTCTGATGAAAAGCCGGTTTCAGGCAGTTACACTTACCGAAGACAAATGGATAAGGTAGTGCAAAATCTTGAAATGAACAGAGTCAGACACTAACACCGTTGGATGCCAGCCCAGTGGTTCACAGGTTAGGTGTTCTCGTACAAGACCGAAGATCCTGAGTACGAATCCTGCAAGTACACACAGTGCTTGTTGATAAGTCCCATACTAGGTCGAAACAACTGTCCAATGCTTTCAGATTTCTTAATAATGGCCTTACAATGTTATCACCACAAAAATACATAACAATCTCATATTTTTCTATATCAATATAAATTATCATACATACCTCAACCATTCGGTTCCATAGAATCGACGAACCATCTGATAAATGGATCCATACGACAAGAAATCCTATAGAATTAGCCATTGTCACATCAGTGATTGGTTCTGTTTTAGTACTACTATTATTATCATTTGATAATGTGGACAGTTGTTGGTGTTTATTAAAATTGGGTTGATTGAAGGCTGAATTGATTGATCCACTATGAGTTAGTTTACTGCCTTTTAAATTAAATTTCATTGAATAAATCCCAGATAGAATAGGCATATGTTGTGAAGATGATATTGAGAATGATTGATCACCATGATCATGATTATTATTATTATTATTATTATTTGAAGATGACAATGTTGAACTTGTTCTTTGCTGTTGTGTATCATCCATATTCGATGTTTGACTGATAGACATAGAGAAATCTATTGAACAAATAAAAGATGGATAATTCATGAAATCTTATAAAAATGGTTAAGAGAATATTAGAGAGTTTGATTGGAATTATTTGCTTTCTGGTGATTATGATTGTGAAAGAATTTTACGGTGTTCTAGTCGAGCAGTGATGACTAATGGAGTTCAACTATGTTGTGATGTGAGGCAGTTACTCATTGTGTGGTGTGTGCTACTTGTACGAACGATATAAGTAGTATAAGAAGGGACGTGAAAGAAGAAGTCTCACAGTCAGAAGAGGAAAACGGAAAGCAAATGGAGCAAAAGCAAGAAGTAAATGGAGTACCAACAGGAAGGAAAAGAAGCAACAACAGGAATGGAAGAAGGATGGAGCGTTGGAAGTCACGACTCAAGAAGATGGTGTGCAAATAGAGTGTTCAATGTAATGTTTTCGTTTTTAATTGACTAAGAGTGTAAATTTGCTAAATACAATCTATCGAGCCTGCCTCAGTCTTCTCAATTGTAGGCTATGGATGAAGTCCTAGGAATTAGAAATTAACACCGTTGAATGCCGATTCAGTGGGCAAAAAGTTAAGTGTTCACATGCGAGACCGAGGGTCCTGGTTGCTGAATGCTCACGTACTAAAAAACACAGTGGGTCCCCAATGATTCCAGGCTTTTAAATCAATTCATGATTTCAATGAAATTCACGAAATCATAAACAGAATTTATAATAAGAAATTAAACTTCGTGTGTTTCATTATTTCGATTTGATGTCAGTTAAATGAAAAAAAATTAATCGATTAGAAGTCGTCAACAAGAATATCTCTGGGGGTTTTTCTCTGTATTATTGACCTCTTGTAATCCTGAAGAAAGAGTACGATTCTTATAAGACAGAGATGCTCAAATCCGATTAATCATTGAGTAGTAATCACTGTTGGATTCGACTATTTGGTTTCTCATGCGGATTAAATCTCATGAGGCGAACGTTACAGTTCTGTTTAGATTAAGAAAATAATTTGATCGGAATTATTATGAAACATATGACCGATAATCACTTAAACAAAATATTTGAACCTTTTAAACTCATAACTATATTCCACCCAAACCAAGAGAATTCAACCAATGGCAATGACTAGATATCTATAACACTGAGAGGTGTTTCAGTGATAAATTAGCGTACAAGTTGAAATTGATTTTATTCATTAACTATAATTTTTCCCACTCATATAATGATTTCATGAAAGGAATTTTCAAATGTTAAAGTGCAATAATTCGTACTCTGTTAACTACTGTCAGTCAGTCAGTCAGTTACAACGTAGAATTTCGTACATGAGTACATACGTTCACGTTGTCATACCGCATCAGCACAGAGACGCAATGGACAATTGAAATTCCATCTTAGTAGAAGTACTAGCAGTAATCGGAGAGATTAAAGTTCGAAGACATTAATCAAGGGATATAATTTAGTGAGATCATTTTACAAAGTGAAAAATAGAGATAATGAGGAACCCAAAAGGTTAGAATTTGACAGAACATAATGAATGAATGCACCTGCGCCATTGCAAACGATTTAGTGACCATGTCATTCTTGGTCACTCACCGTCGGTTATTATCGTCTAGCTGACCCCAACCTGGTAGCATACATCTACCAACATCACTCAATCCAATTGTCAGTGACTTCATGGATTTGTGCCATGTTTTGCTTCGGCCGCCCTTAGATTTTGTATCTCTTTTGTTACTCACTGATTATTATTATCATTAACTCTGCCTGGAGACCTTCTACGATTATTGCCGGTAATAAGCCCGGATAAAGGAGGAGTGTTGGGTATGCGGTTAGCGACTGCATCCCGTAGAAATCACACTCGCTAAAAATCACTCTAACCAGAAATAAATAGTTCGTTGGTCGGTGACCTATACTCCGTAGGGGGTAACGGGTGTGAGTAAGTAAATCTGTAAGTAAGTAAGTAAGATTATTATTATAATTAGAGACAGTTATCGAGAAGTATTGTTATTTAACTATTTATTTAAAACATAATTATCAAATAAATTAATGACTTTGACGTAATGTCTAAGTGAAATTAATTGAATGGAAGTATTTCTTTCTCTTTTCAAATTAGAATTTTAATTTCCCAATAAAAAGAATATTTAACAGATATGTACTGTTGTGTAAAATAAATGCCACAATGAACTGTGTAACATTATTTTTGAAAGCTTACAATTTACAACTGATAGTTAGGAATGCAATTAATCAGTCTTGTTTGGTACACACACACGCGTATAATATGCGAATTGCCTCGATATGGTCACTATACAAGCACCCTGGATTTGATAGCTAACCACTATGCATCTCTGTTTATAATGCTTGTACCCGTAATACGAATATCAAGGCTATTCAGTCAAGTTACATATATGTGTCCATTGAAAGTGTTTAAATGTAATCTTAAATTAGTCAGTAAGTGAGTAATGAAGTAGAATGTGGTACGTATTTACATCACTTGAAATCATCATACCACATTAGCGCAGACAGAGATGGAATCGTCGATTCAAATTCCACAGCAGTAGAGTTTGTAGTAGTAGTATTAACGGTATTGGAAAAGACTAGAGTTCGAAGATATGGTTCAAGAAGCATATAATCCAGTGAAATAAATTTGAAAACAAAAGAACACTGTCATGAGGAATTGAAAAGATTAAACTTTAAGAGAAGACTAAGAATTGATGTAAATGTTTCATAGCAAATGATTTTGTGCCATAGTATTTAAAGTCTGTAACTGTTACGCTCGTCTTTAGGTATGCTTAAACTATCACGGGTTTACCTTAGTCGAATAACGAGAACAAAACAATCAACCAGCGTCCAAGTAGGTTTCTGTGATCCCTTGACAAAAATGTATCAGCAAGAAGTCTTGATATAGTGTAGAAATTGTATTCTACAAACACCCAGCCAACACACAATGAATCCAAGCACTCATATCGGGACAGTCACCAAAATAGCACACTAAAATAAAACACAGTAACCAATCACAGCCAAGGAATTTTCCGGTGGGAAATGTGATCTCAAGGTCCATTAAATAAACCCAAAACAAAGAGATTTATCAAGCGAGTTCTGGGGATCTAACATCGCCAACAGTAACCACTGGTTGCGACTGTATCACCAACCCACGACCAGGTGGTCTATACGTACTGACATGACACAGTCCATGTTTTGATCTGGCCGCCCCTAGCTTTCTTCCAACCTACCCCTATATCACAAAACATCGCTTGTCAGGGTAATTGGTAGTTAGGCATGCATAACACATGTTCCAACCACCTTAACTAACGAATATTCACTAATTCAACAACTTATTTGCCAGCTTTGCATAAACTATCAACGCAAACATTCAAACTATGATATAAGCTAGTAGATGTCGGGACTCATTAGCTAAAGGGATGACTCAATGGCATTTGAAGTGAATGGTGCCGGTTAGAAGGTTGTTTAGGAGTGAACATCAACTCTGAGATGAAAGTACTGCTGAAACTGATGAAACAGTGTGTGTCATCCCGTTCGAAGATTTAAAAATTCAATAAACCCAACATTTCATAAACTAACCTGTTACTAATTGTGCAGATATACCAACAGGCCATATACTTGTTTCATCTGTCACTTGTACAATAATACTTGGCATTTTCAATGGATCATTTAAATTTTTTAATGATTGATTATTGAACTCTTGGGTGTCAATTGATAAATTCCCCAAAGATTTCGGTGTATTCTCTTTCAGTTGTTTTATTAAACCAGGTGGAATAAATGCATTCAATAAGGATCGATCGATTGGTGTTAAATAAATACGAACTTGTCCAATATGTTGGCCAACAATCCATACACGTAATGGTTTGTATGATTTTTTCATTGGTTTATTCATGATCAATGTATTCAGTTGGGATGATTTTCTTGCTGATGTGAACGACGACGATGATGATGAGGAGGAGGAGGCATCACTATCGTCATCATCACCACCGATGGTCAACAAACGTGCAGGTGATTTAAAATTTCGATAATCCAACACAGATCGCGAGTTATTTCTATGTGTATTCAATAATCCACTGGTATGATTATGATTTTGCATAAATTGTTCATGTGTATATTCTAAACGTAATCGATGCGCTGTGAACTCAGTCACATCGACATATTGATTCATCTGTCCGCCAAGAACATCTTTATCATGCAGAATGGAACTCGCCAGAATAAATCTATGAAGAAATTGAGAAAGGTAATTTTTGGAATGAATGAATGAATGAATTGGAAATTATGCATAATCTTTACATATCTGCGCAGCATCATCGACAACTAAGGTGGATCCGATGCAGATGTGAGGGTGCGCATTGGCAAAGCGAGGGCTGCATTTATACAATGAAAAAAATATCTGGAACTCAAAACAAATATCAATCAACACCAAAACCTGGATTTTCAATACAAATGTCAAGACAGTTCTACTATATGGAGCGGAAACTTGGAGAACTACGAAAGGCATCATCCAGAAGATACAAGTGTTTATTAACAGTTGTCTACGCAAATACTTCGAAATCGTTGATCAGACACTATCAGCAACAACCTACTGGGGGAGAGAACAAACCAGATTCAAGTGGAGGAGGAAATCAGGAAGAAGCGGTGGAAGTGGATTGGACACTTACTGTGGAAAGCACCTAACTGCGTCACAAGACAAGCCCTCAAATGGAACCCTCAAGGTAAAAAGAAAATAGAAAGGCCAAGGAACACATTACGCTGAGAAATAGAGAAACATATGAGAGGAATGAACGAAAAATTGGACAGAACTGAAAAGGGAAGCCCAAGAGAAAGTTGGCTGGAGGAAACTGGTGGGCAGCCTATCCTCGATTGGGTGCAACAGGCGTAAGTAAGTAAGTAATACGGTTTCGAAGGAACACCATTTGTTTGTATTGTGATGATGAAGAGGAGAAAAATGGTGTAAATACAATTCAGCAATTTTTTTCTGTTTATTTAATTTACCTAAATGTTATGCTTGTCACCAATTGATATGCTTGAATGCTATTACTGTGGTGCTGCGGTGCGAGCTACTTATAAGTAGTATATGACGTGAGTGTCAACGTTATGTCTGGCAGCCGAAGATGGGGAAAGATCAAGAAAGGAAGATTTAGAACACAATGGAATTTGTATGAAACGCATGAATAGTGAGAATGGATTGATGTTTTGCAAGAGGAACAGTCCAGTTCGATATGATGAACTGTTATTTTGCAAATGAACAATTTACGATATGGTTTTCCGATTTTACTGAGTAACTCTGTAATTTCCGTTAAATACAATACGGTTGCCCCACCTGTGTTCTCGTTCACTACACTACGTGTTCACCTTAGTCGATACAGGAAACGAAAGACAAATGATCCAGTGACACGATAGGCTATTCTAATCTGTTGCTCAATCTAACTGAAGAAAAAGACTTGATAAGGCGTAGAAAGTGTATTTGACAAGCATCCGCAAAATATACTGATCTCAAGCACACAAATCGAGTTTATTTATACATGACAGCAACGTTCTTGGGAGAGTCACAAAACTAGCGTACTAAAATAACCCATCAACCGATAACAGTCAAGGATTTTCCGAGTAGGAAATGTAATTTCATGGTCAACTGATAAACCCATGAATAAAATCCAAAATGAGGACATTTATCAAGTGGGTTCTAGGGATCTAATGTCCCTGACACTAAGTCTGCTACACTTTAGAGCAGAGTAGCTTTTCGATTAAGGTTAGGGTTAGAATTCTTTGTTGACATTTGATTCTTGATTAGGAGAGACAGAAAAAAGCAATGGTATGTGCAGGATAAAAGAATCGAAGCTTCAGTCCGGGATATGACGGGTTATGAGTTAGTGATTTTTTTGAAGTATCTGACAATTTCACAGGTAACAATCATAGTTATCAGTGATTATTGATTACGGAAATCCTTCTGAAAGTATGTAGAATTTATTTAACAGAGTAAGTAACTAATCAACCAATCAATGCGACGCATATAATTCATCGATTTTCAAAAAGTTTCTACGGTGTATGTTAATTGGAATAAGTGTTCTTAGTATTATTTTGGTTTTTTTTACAGGATTTTATTTTATGAACACTGATATAATTGCAACTCAAATATTTGTATTATAGTATAATAGACATTATAAAGTTGTTTTCAAAAGAAATCTATTGAATCAGTGGCAACGGGATATCATTAAACATCTTTATATCTACTTTCTTTGCATTGTAAAAAATTATTTTCATAGTAAACTTATTTTAGGAAGTGAAAAAAAACACTGGATTTCATGCAAATCTATACATGTATACATGTAAATAACCACACTAAATCTAATTTCCTTTCCGCTTCTAATGATCCCATACTAGATCTATACATTGGGAAATGAAAATTACAGAGTTACTCAGTAAAATTGGAAAACCATATCGTAAATCGTTAATTTGCGAAATATCAGTTCATCATATCGAACTAGACTGTTCCTGTTGCAAAACATCAATCCATTCTCACTATTCATGCGTTTCATACGAATTCCATTGTTTTCTAACTCTTCCTTTCTTGATCTTCCCCCATCTGCTGCTGCCAGACATTACATTGACACTCACGTCATATACTACTTATAATTAGCTCACACCACAGTATAATAGCGATATGTTTAAATGTTCAATCAGAATAGTGGCTCGTGGTTTGACCTTTTCCAAATATTTCTGAGAAGTTTCTATCCCGTACGGATTGGATAAATTGTTTGCTGGCGTTTCTTCATCCCTAGAGGCTTTCTAAAGGATAATTTAGGACTCTTTCAACAAAAACACATACTGTTACCACTTACCTCTTACATGGGAAAAATAATTGTATTTGGTGAATATGAGTGTAATAGTCATCATCAACCAACACTAAAATGTGGAATTAAAACACACTGAGATTTAAAAAGTCGATTGACTAAAATTCTTATCCCTATTTTGTAACTTTTAAACTCTTCAAGCGATAATTCTGATCAAGAATAAGACCAAATGAGGATATAGCTGAAACAAAGGTGCAGACAACGACAGGTTTAAGTCCAATAGCAACCAATCAGGAGCGAGGTCAGCAGAACAAGCTACGAGTCAAATATGGAGAAGTTCGAATACTTCACTACTTGATCTGAAGTTTGGGTTGATGATGTTGTTCAGCAGAAGAACAATGAAAACTCCACAACCAAAATATCCAGCTGAGAGGACGAAACACCAGCAGAATCATCCACCTGAGCTTTGCATTTTCTCCACCATCTCAAAATCAGCAGTAAACTATGAATAACTCTTTCTACAACCTAAACGAGCAAGAGATAAGTCTTATTACATGTACATTTACATAAGGACAGCTAGAAAAACTAACCAACTAGCATGAAATTTAGGGTGTTTATTGACCATTTCAGTATACCTTAAACAGAAGTATAGCACACACAATGTTAAGTTAATTAGATTAGTCACCACATTGTAACCGGATCAATAGTTAGTTTAGTTGTGAAAATTCAAACAACACGACATTATTCATCATTCATTAGTGATATCAAGCAATAGTGATAACTATTACGTGCTCATTAGTGACTAGGGTGAACATGCATTTCTGTTGGTGTGAGACAGTCGCCAACCGAAAACATTACCAGATAGTAGTCGCGCAATATCGTGGAATGATTGAATCCAAACACTATTATCATTGGATGCTAGCTGAGTGGTCAAGCGTTCGCTCTAGAGACCCGAGGGTCTTGGGTTATATTCTCGCAATCCGATATTGTGAATACACACTTGTGGTGAGTCTCATACTCCGAAGAAATGCCGTCCAGTGCATCCAGACATTCAATGGTGGTTTAACTTAGATCATGGTCTATGATTTAAAAGAAACTTAATACAACTTATACTGCAATTCAACATAAAGGCATCTGGGGCTGACTTAGCTTGCAACTAACACCCTAGAATATGAAACTAGACGACTGTGGTTTCGGTTATATACAAGAAGCTTTATTTCCCTCAGGATTGTAGATACATCTTAAAGTTAAGTTTCAATTAGCACGAGACTTAACACCAAGGTTTTCCTGCCTACTACCTCCAACCACTGAGATAGTTTTCCACATCCCGTTCCAGATATATATTTCACTAGACCGTTACAAACACAACTCATCTTTTGAACATTACTCTACTTTCAAAAATCCCACTATTTTTTCTCCTGTCTGATAATTCTTGTCAAAAATAGGAGAAACAACCAACCGCTCACTGTCAAACAGCAAAAACAAAAAATTATGTAATTCTTCCAAAAAAAATGTCAGCGAAAGGAGAAACTAACATTGAATCGATCGATTCCGATGTAGACAGTCAGCGTTGTAGGCTTGTCATTTTCAATTGTTTCGTGTAACGCATACACAAACACACACATGCACGCACACATGCAAATAGCATGAAACCATGTGTACGCTACATTAGGCAATTGGCATAAACCAACCAAATACAACAACATCTAAGTACGCCATTTTCTCACTCACTACACTCATCCAAATGATGTCTGATTTGTGTGTCTGGTGGAGTACTTGGTGTGTTTTAAATGATCAGCATACATTGTGAATGTATACATACTACATCACTATTAGTCTCATTACAAAACAACTACCATAGAAGGAGAAAGAGAGAGACTAGGAGAATTCATTACTTATGATTACCCTTTCGCATAGATTCTGTCAGAGGCAAGCAAATGACAGAGTAACGCAGATCGATAGATCCACTCACACACACACACACACACACACTAGAATCTTATGCATAGAGAGAAGTCAATAAATACATTTATGTCCTAAACTACATACTACTAACATACATTCACACACACACACATATGTACATCAATGAGATCGACTTGAGAAGGCATACACACATACGGAGAGATGGAGATAGAAAGCGAGAGACATAGAGAAGTAAACTGAAATGAGCCAGGGCAAAATTGCAAATTAGAAATATAATCAATGATATATATATACATAATATTAGGCATAACAGACACCACAAAAAATAATAATAACACAACTTATTTTCTGAATTACTACTATTAAACAAAAGAATAACATTTTTTTTTTGTATTTGACTAAATTTAGTTGTATAGAACGTAATGGAAACAATGGCAGTTCATTGACTAAACTGGATAACTAATTGAAGCGAATGAGAAGATCAGTTGATGAGTGAAACGGCT